ATAATCACAGGAATGTCATTCTGAGCAAATTTGATTTTCAATTTTTGAAATTAGGCCATAATTTCAAAAGAAAACTTACAGCGTTTCAAGAGGCACGAAATCCGGGTCTTTTAATTTTGGTTTGAATAATTCAAAATTAGTCTGGTCGAAATCAGAGAACCCTCTTCAAGCCTACGCATAGTATATAATTTTGATTTGTTGACGCACATAAATAAGCGGCTCTTTATGTATTTCCGTGTTATCTTAAATGCGCGTGCTTTCGCCTGCGGCGGACCTTTAACTTTAGGTACATTTTCAGCCAAAATTATAGTGCTGCGAAACGTTGAGACTTTTTGAATTTTAATCCTGTCTAAAAAACTAAGCAACATACCAATTCTAAGAATTGTATCGAGTAATTTTTAAAAATTCAACTTTTCGAAGACTTTTAACTTACAAAGCTTTAAAGTTGTTTGCAGTTTTGAAATTTTGAAATTCTACAAAGTCTGGAATTTTGATTTAAAGTTGCAATTCTTCAAGATTGTTGGAAATGCCTTTTGATAATTTCGGGGAGTTTGAGCAACCCTGTTCGTAAAGTTACAGTGTTGTACAATATCCTGAATTTGGCTGCACATTTAAAAAATCTGGCAAAGGTGAAAACACGTGTATTCAAGAAAATACAAAAATAATCGTTCGCTTGTTTTTATGCGTGAAATATTTAAATTTCATTCACACATATTCATTGCCAGATATTGAATTTGAAGAATTTTATTTCAACCAGGCCTAAAAGATAAAAAAAACATGGTAAGCGAACCAAATTTAGCCAAATATTTGTAACCAAAAACGCGGAAAAATCCACCACCTGGTTTGTCTCCGGAATTACTGGTCAAACTATAAGATAATTTATTTTCAGTCGAGTAGGAAATATTATATATTAATCCCTATCTTTATCCATACAAAAATTATCCGGATATAGAAATAAAATTAGAGGCGCCAAAATATATTTTGCCCGGGTAAATACTTAGGGTCGCACGAGCACTGTTTGTAATTCATAACTCCGGTAAGTGCGCCAAACCACTCGAGTTATTGATTTTTACACACTAAATAAAAGAACACTAAATAGCTAGAAAAACCAGGAAGCAAACTGATTCTAATCAAAAATTTTGCATGAAAACAAACCTCACACATTTAGAAAATTGTGATTTTTCAATTTCCTGGGTTAACAACATGGGGAACACATGGTTTCCAAAATTAAAAATCTGTCGAAACTGTCAGATTTCAAAATGCTATCATAGCACAATGATAGCATTTTAAATGCTATGGAGGAAATAGGTGTCACATATTTATGATATTATCCTTGCCATGTAACATTAATTGTACTTATTGAAGGAAACAATACACATTGCAGCAATAAATTTGAAAGTGCTCGAAAACAGATCCCAGCAAAAAATGCAGTGAAAGGCTTGAAAACCGCGGTTTTCACAAAATAGAACATTTGAAAACCTTAAATGCAATACGATAAATTACGAAGCCTACATATCAAGAAATTATGCACATGTACATGTAAAGTTTCCAAGAACACTAAAAAATCTTCCCCCCGTACACCCCGTAAAACGTAGTATTGAAACGTTTTTGTTATTTTTCAGACCATGTTCCTCAAACCAAACACTTATCTTCGTGTGCAAAAAACCAAACCAACTTCCACGCAATTTTAGAAGAGGGAGAAAGCGAGTAACAAGTCGTTCGAGCAAATTTAAAATTGCTCGAATAATCATTAAGTTGTGGAGATACAGGAAGTCAGTCAGGGGCAAAATTCACACCCGACGACCGATTAACATTACTCTTAGCATTAATAAAATTTACTTGTCACGTGACTTCTTAGGATTACCCCCCCCCCATTGGTGATATTAAGTGACAAATTTCAGACCCCTCCCCCCCCCCTTCGATCGATCACGTGATTTATGGACGCTCCCTTATATCTTTTGATGCGTCTGACATAAGTAAGTATGAAATATTCCAATATCAAATATCCAATAAAATTAATTTGCAAACTTTTCCTACATTAGAACGCATAGCAATAATAAAATAACACGAATGTTAAGACAGGGCTTTGCATCTCAACCGCAAATTATTTATTCCCACATAAATACATAAATACTGCCCATCTTAATGGTTCATAAGCAACCCAAATCTTCCTCAAAACTCAATTTTTTTTGCCACTTTGACCACCACCACCATCCTCGTCTCCTTTTGGTCTCATTTTAACAACATGCCCAATCTCTTCCTATTCCAACCCAAGCAGAGTATTTTTCATTTTTAGAACAATACTAAACACGTTTTCCCTCAAGTACACCCCCCTGTAGAGTTCGAGGACACCAAGCATACCCAAAAGAACGGGGTAAGGCAGTTTTACGGCGAACAAATTCCCCGTCATAAACCAGACCGTGTCCATTACCGAGTTCAGAACAGTGTCGCCAGAGTAACTCGTGTCAAATAACTTGCTCCCGAAGGAGTCAAGAAAAAACGGGTTGTTTACCGCGGACTCCAAAACAATCTGGGTGATTAAGGCGAGGAGGAACTTTTGCTCGCGTGTTGGACCCAGCAGGGCTGAGGTGAAGTAGTGCAGACCAATACCGGCCAGTAGGTTGAAAATAGAGTAGTGATCGGACACATGTGACGAAGAGATTTGTCCGTATTTAAATGAATCCCAGTATATTATATTCTTGCTCTTCTTCTTGCTGGGACGATTTGCAATATATAGGGAGAGATATTGGACAAGGTATAGGCACAGGGTTATCCCAGATACGGATAGGATGCGGTAAAATAGTATCATTTCTCCCTGACTGGTGGGGGATGACGAATCTTGATCAATTTCACTTGAATCAACCTGTCACAAGAATATTGTACTTTTTGAAGTTAGTTGAAATTTTATGAATTATTTTCTTTTGTCTACCTTCATATTTTTGAAGTGTGGTAGTCGTCTTTGGCAGGTGCAATTGGTCGTGTGTGACGGGTAGGACTTGAAATCCTACTAAATATTCTGGTAGCTTTCTCGTCTTGCTTTCCTCGTATGGATCAGACAGTGGTTTATTATTTATGCGGTTGTGGTGGGAAATCACAATAATTGTGATCTTTGCCACATAATCAAGACTAGCAAAAGTTGTAAAGAAAGATTGTAGGTTTGTAGAGACAAAGAAGTGGTCTGATTCTTTCATGTAATAATACTTGTGGAGTTTGGTGTGGTGTCAAAAAGAACACAATGCTTTTTAGCCTCTGTCCCTCTGCAAACTTTACTAACTCAATTCCCACGCTATCGACAATATCAATTTAAATATGTGTACGTCCCATACATTGTTGATGTATGGACGGCACTTGCCGTTACTTGTAAATGATAAGATTGTTCGTTGGGAAGTCCAACTTGGAATTCATGTAAATAATAATAATAATAATATTTATATGTCAATGTAAGAAGAAAATGTAATGCAATATTAGCAAATTTGTTTCCAATTAAGGACATATTTAACTGTATATCGAAGAAAATGTTTGTAAATGACTTTATCTTATCAACCATAAACTATGCTTCATCGGGCTGGATGGGGTCGTCTAAATCTAACACTGAAAGTATTAATGGGTTATAAAAAAAGGAGCGAGATTTATTTACGGTAAAAAGTATGGTGAATCAATTACGAATATGATTTACTTATCCTGAACTTAAATGGCTTAGTGTTGAAAATAAGTTAAAATTTGAAGAATTAAAATTTGTATTCTCTGTTGTAAATAACACTGCCCCTAAATATTTCATGGAATACTTTACAGATGCAATGTTTGTCAAAAAGCAAACAAGAGACTCAGTGTTTATGGTATGTCATGATAAATCTAAGGTAAATAAATCAATAAAATATAATGGTTGGAAATTATGGCTAGAACTACCAGAACAACTTAGGAAATTAACGAGTTTTGTAATATTTAAAAGAAACGTACATGACCATTTATTAAAAATGCAGATTGATCTTTATAATGTGCAAAAGGAGGTGAGCTTAAACAATTTATATATGAGTGATGAATGTGATAATATGTAAGGTGTTCCTATGATTTTTAGTACTAAACAATTTTCCCAATTTAATAATAAGTAAATTTATTTTATATAAAATACTATTTTTAATACTCCACTATTATTTTTAAAATGTATTTTTATATGAATATGTAATGAACCTTGTGATGCAACGACATCACGTTGTAATAATACATAAATAAATAAGTAATAATAATTGTTGTAATCGAATAAATTAAGTTTTAATCTCAACCATGTCCTACGTTGACCATGTCACAATCACAAACAGTTCATTCACATGTTGTAATAGCAAAGCAGTAATGTATAATAGTATGTACTTTTCGCATGTCTAAGCACTTAACAACTCTCTACTGCAAAAGCGCCTGTGTGATGATTTGTGCCATGTAGCCTGCCGCAGAGTCGTAATGGCATGCCCTGTGACGTATTTATTTTTAAAATTTTTTTATTGGCTAAGAAATTTTATTACGAATCAAAAAATTTAAAAATTACGTCACAGGCCATGACATTACGACTCTGGACCGGACTTGTCGTATGAAACGTGGAAGCAAACAACTAACGCTAATTATTCTAAAACTTGGCAAGGTTGAGGACAATTGTTACTTGATAGGAGAAGAAGAGCATGGGAATTTTTTCAAAGAATTATTTCCATGGTGACTTGTACGAATGAGATAGGTTCAACTTTATATAGGCAGGATTCAACTGACAACAAAGTGTCTTAAACGGTAATAATTTGTCACATTGATAGTGGGCCTGATTAAAAATTACATCAACATTTTTGCACATTGATTGCATGTCGAAGCAGTTTTGGTAATATTTATATTTATTGCCGATTTTATTCAAAAGCTTATGTGAAGTCCCTGTTTTCCTGTGTGGTATGGAATGATTTCTAACCTTTTGGCTTTAATCCAAAGATGCGAAGAAATTAAAAAAATAGGATATGCTGAATTGTAAAGAAAATGAAAGTCTCCACCGGTTCTATGATTTGCGGGTTTATTTAATTACTCTACTTTTGCACAGCACCAACGATCAGATCAGTGGACAAGTGTCAAAAAAGGCGGGAAAAATGACAACAGACGTCAAGAAATGTATAGGATAAATAAGAGGCCGAGGCGACACTCCGTGAAGGGAAAGAGGTAAAAGAAACTACGAAATCAATAGAGCATAGGTGACCCCAATTATTGCTGAGCGGCAAGACGGGCCATGGATCCGGCTCGTCGCCCACGAAGCTTGGTGAGAGCGCCCGAATTGACTTCGGCTCGCTCTTCGGCATCCTCCAAGTCCGTTTGGGCCTTTCTGTATTTGGCAAGGTTGAGGGCGGCAATCTCCTCCTGTGAGTAAAGGAATGATTAGTTTAGAAATAAATTAATGGTACCTTATTGAATAAGACAGCCTTACTGCCTCTTCAATCTGCCTCTTGAACGTCTTAATTTTCTGTTGCAGCGCGTCTACAAGGTCTTGCATGCGCTCATGATTCTTGCGGTCTTCGTCAGCCTGGAAACTCATTTCTTTGATACGGCGTTCATTTTTGCGACTAGACTTCTGCGCTTCGGCATGTCGTCGTTGTTCACCATCAAGTTCGCCTTCGGCTTGTCGGATACGTTCTTCCAACTTGGCGATGGCCTTCTTTCCACCCTTAAGGGCTAAAGCTTCGGCCTCATTCAACCGGTTCTGGAGGTCCTTAGCTTGGAGCTCAAGCTGTTTGCGGAGCTTCTCTTGGCCATGGGCGTGCTCCTGTTCGGCCCGGAGTTCGTCGGCGAGGCGGGCAGCATCAATCATGGCTTTCTTTGCCTTCTCGTCAGACATCTTGGCTTCGTTGAGAATCTCCTCCAAGTCGGTCTGAAATATTTGAAAGTGTTAAAACAGTGAGTTTTTTTGCCAACTGTGAATTGCCTTCTTACATGAAGAGTTCCTAGCTCGCTTTCCAACTTCCTCCTGGCACTGGCCAGACTAGCAGCTTGACTGTCAAGATTGCTAATTTCTTCATTAGCGTCCGTCAGTTCCTGCTCAGCGCTACGTCGGGCATGGTCCGCCTGTTCAAGAAGGTTTCGAGAATTCTCCAATTCATTGAACAGTGCGTTTGATCGCCGCTCCGCACTTCCCAGGGCCTCTCTCGCCTCATCCCGCATCCTTTGTTCCTCCTCAAGCGTCATCTGCGTATCCTTCAGGGTCTGTTGGTACCGCTTGATATTCTTTTGCGCCTCCTGAGCCGCTTTGGAAGCTTGGTCAAGTCCAATCTCCAGCTCGTTGATGTCGGTTTCCAATTTCTTTTTTTGTCTGAGGGCCTCAGCCTTGGCCTTGGCTTCGGCTTCAAGACTGGATTGGAGCGAGTCAAGGGCACGCATATGGTTCTTGCGCGTATTCTCGAATTCGTCCTCTTTCTCTTGAATGCGGCGGTCGATTTCTTGTCGAACAGTGGAAAGCTCGAGTTGTCCACGGAGAAGTTTGCTTTCCTCTTGTTCGAGAGCTGACTCCGCTTCTTCACAAGCGGCTTGGAGTTCATCCTTCTCAACTTCGAGACGTCGGCGAGCTTTGTCCAATTCTAAACGGAAGAAATATAAAATTCCAATAAGTTTAACCTGCTCTACCTTCAGTTTTGATTATAATTAAGCATACCGTGAATCGCGCGTCCTCCGTCTCCAATCTGTGAATCATACCGTTTAATGAGTAATTTCGCAGTAAATTGTGTCAAACTTTTTACCTGATCCATGAGGTCCTTAATCTCCTCGACAAGGCTCTTATTCTCCCTTCGGACTGAGTCCAACTGTTCGTGACTCTCATCATACACAGATCTCAGACGGAAGAGTTCCGTTGAATAGTTCCTACATTCCTTTTGAGAATTGTCCAATTCGCCAGCCAATTCGTCGACACGTGTCTTCCATTCCGCAACCGATTTGTCGAAAGCCTTTGCCCGCTTCTCCATCGCGCTGGCCATGCTCTTTGACCGCTCGACTTCCAGCTGCATATCTTCCAGCTCGGTTGAGAGGCGCTGCTTGCTTTTATCCAAGCCCATCACTTTCTGGTTCATTGACTCAATTGCTTCTTCAGATTCCGAGAGACGAGCTTGCAATTTGCGCCTGGAGAAGGACCAGAATAATTTTGCAATTTAGTATTGTTTTTTGCAACACAAGTTTTGCACATTTAGGAAACCTTCTTACTTGGTTTCCTCCAACTCCTCAGCTCGAGCAACTCTTTCAGACTCAAACTTTGCACGCCAAAGTTGCGCTAAAATAGGAATTGAATGGTCAGTTATAATATTTATGTATACTAGTTATCTAAATTAAGTTTCTACCTTCCGCATTGCCCTTAGCCAACTGCCTCACAAGGTCGGCCTTCCCTTGTCCTTCGCCATCCAACTGTTCCCTCAGCCCATCCTGGTCATGCTCCACCGTCCTGAACTTGGCCAAGAGAACCGCCCTCTCCCGACTTTCTTCATCCGCCACCCGCTTAATATCCTCGAGCTGTTGAGCTAGAGAGATTTTGAGTTTGTTAAGGGTAGAAATTTGTGTGTCAGCGTCCTCCAATTGGCGGGAAAGTTCTGAATTCTCAATAGCCAGTTTCTTCTTGGATCCCTCCATTTCCTCAAAGGTTCGGGCAGCCTCCTCATATTTTGTCTGGATATCTCCCAGCTGCGCTTGCCATTGCTTATTAAGTTTTTCCTGACCAGCTTTCTCATTGCCGACTCGGTCCATGGCCGAACGAATGTCGTTCAATTCAGAGGACATGGATTGACGGTCCTTTTCGGCCCTGAGTGTTGCAAATTAATGTATTTGTCTGCAACAAACTGTGCACCTATTATAAGCAGATCTTACCTAGCCTTTAGCTTGTTTAAAGTATCAATTTGCTCTCCCATCTCAGCAACGGCGTCATTATGCTTCTTCCTTACACCCGCCATGGCAGCCTCGTGGTGAATGTTGGCCTCCTCGACGTCGTTCCGCAACTTGGTAAGCTCACTTTCCCTCTTTCTGTTCAACTCGATCTGTGCCGCAGTAGCACCTCCAGCTTCATATAAGCGTTCCGTGAGCTCTTCCAAGTCTCGGGCGAGATCGGCTCGTTGTTTCTCAGCCTTGGCGCGGGCTTGACGCTCAGACTCAAGCTCCTCTTCCAACTCTTCAATTCTTCCTTGAAGTTCCTTAATCTGTTTTTGGAGCTTGCAAACAACACTCTGCTCGTCCTCTAGCTTCGCGGTCAAGGCTTGAACCTCCTTATCCTTGCGCTGAATACATTGTTCCAGCTCACGCTTGTTTCGTTCAAGATCGTGGACAGATTCCTGGGTCAACTTAAGATCTCCTTCAACCTTCCTTTTAGTTTTTTCAAAATCGGCCCTCATCTTCTTCTCCCGATCGAGATTTTCCTCCAGTTCATTCAGGGTTTGTTCCAGTTTGGACTTGACCTTGTTGAGATGGTTCACCCTGTCCTCGGCACCTTGCAGCTCTTCCCCAGTCTTTGAAGTGAGCTCCTGCATGTGCTTCTTCTCCTTGTTGAGCTTATTGATCAGATCGTCTTGGCGAGAGATTTCGTCATTGAGAGTCCTCATCTGGTGGTCCCGCGTGTTCTTGTCCCCTTCCACCTTGTTCACAGCTATGGCCAAATCTTCAAAATCCTTCCGCATGCCGAGGACTTCCTGCTCCATCCTTTTCTTTTCTTGGGCAAGTTTTGCACGAGCCTCCTCCTCACGGACGAGTTTTTCCTGGGCGTCCTTAATTTGCCTTTCTAAATCCTCCTTCTGGGTCTGCATCTTTGTGAGACGAACACCGTAGTCGCCGCCTTTCCCGCGCTCGGCTTCAAGCGTCTTTTGAACTTCGTCTCGCTCAGCGGCCGCCTTGGCTTCACGCTCGATGGCTTCAGCCCTCAGTTTTTGTTCGTTTTTAACATGAGCTTCGAGCTTCTCAGCTTTCTCTTCAAGCTTATTGAGCTCGTCACCGATTTTGGAGGCAGCAATCATGGGTTTGAGCTTTAGCATTACGTCGAACCACGGCCATTTCTTCATTTTCACGTAAGTCCTCAAGTTTCTCTGGACGACTTGGAGAGCAATACTGAAACCAAAAAAAATACATAGTTAAATAAACCCTTTTAATCATTTGACTATCCTTGCACAAATTTTAAATGTACCGCTGCTCCTGGAGGCGCTTGAATTCCTTCAGCTGTAGGAATGTTCGGATTCTACTTTGCATCCATGTGATGACTTGGCCGACCTTTTCGTCACGCACCTCCTCCAGAAAACCCAAAGTTCCGGCACTATCAAATAAATAAGGCTCAATTATTTAAATTCCATGTGCGGGAAATATGTAACTAACCGGAAGAAGACTTTAGTGTGCCCAACCCGGTATCGGTCAGGATCCAGTTTGATTGCATCAAAACAAGCAATAGCCATCTTTTTGTCATCTGACCCTGCCGCCTTCATCGCTTCCGCCGCTAAGATGACATACCTAAAACAATGTCTAGGGTAGGAGAGTGTGCTGAAAATTTTTTTCTCTCGTGATGGGCTCACCTGTGCATGAAATCCGGGTAATTGGTCCTGTTGGGGAATCCCTTTCGGCAAATACGGATTCCTTCAAGTACACCATTACAGGTCAGCTGGTGCATGACCAAGTGAGCGTCCACGAGTCCCGGTGTCTTGACCTCGTTCGGCACAATACATCGGATGAAATGGGGATGTGTCGCTTTCAAAGTGGTCATCAAATTGTTCAGTTGCTCCTGAATGGAGGGGTGAATTTCATTTTAGAATTTGAACAAAAAAAACATATTTTCACTTTCAGGGGAACACGTTCAGTCAGAGCAAGTCAGGTTTTTTTTTTTCGTGCTGCAATCATCCATCAAGTGAAATCGGGTTCAAACAATGCAGGGATAGTTTACAGACACTTGACGGATGCGAATTGTCTCCACGTTTAAAACGAGTATTTGAAACAGTAACGTTGTGGATTGAATATAGGGTGATAGTAGGATGGTCAGTTACTGTGCACTGCAGTTGTGCGTGCACAGACAATATTTTACAGGTTTGCCAACTTTAGAGGGAAAATAAATCCAGTACCCGTATAAGGGCAATATTTGGGTAGGGCTAGAAAATTCAAAAGGTGGCACCCGATTTAACACATAATGGAATTAACTCTGTACGACGAAGATACACTGCTCATTCCACCACCCTTCTTTTTGCCTCCACCTAATGAAGGAGTTGATTAAAGGAAAACATTGCATAATGGGCAGTACATCAAATCAATTGTAAATTTTGACAAATTTCCTACTTTTTAAGTGAACCGTTCTCATTTACCTTTTCCGCCACCGGCATCCTTGCTAACTTCGGCGGATTGCCCCGGGTTGTCAAGATACAAGTAAACTACCAAATCGTTGCTTCCCTTTTTCCATTGATCGACCACAGAGTCGTTCAAGGGATCCTTGTTCTTCTCCAACCATCCAGCAATGTTGTACGCCACATTGCCCGCGTAATGACCAACAGTGAAATGTGCTTCTTTTTGTCCTGTGTATTCACAAAGTTTTTGAAATTTGGTAACGACGTAATGGGCGTAGATTTGCGTACCTAACCGGGCTTTGGGGGTTTGGGCTTCATTAAGCAGTTATACTTTCCCAGCAAATTGGCCTTCAACATGTCTTCAAAGGATTTATCGGTGGATTTGGGGAACATGGTCTGCTCTTCCAGAATGGCAAAGATCCCCATAGGTTTCTCAAAGAGTTCGATACAAGCTTGCAAATCCATCCCGAAGTCCTCAAAAATCCAATCAAGACCTTCCTTCTTGTATTCTTCCTACAGTTCCAAAATTAGTTCAGGACGGTTAACTGGAATAAATAAATAACGAGATATTTCTCACCTGTTCCAGGACGAACATGTGATGGTTGAAGAATTGTTGCAGTTTCTCGTTCGTAAAGTTGATACAGAGCTGATCGAAACCGTTCTCGTCGAAAATCTCGAACCCGGCAATGTCCAACACTCCCGAAAACGATTGTCGTTTCTGTTTTGTGTCCAACGTGTCGTTACACTTTTTCACGAGCCATTTGAACATCCTGTCGAAAATGGATTTCGCCATGGCCCCCAAAGTGTAGGAGCACTGGTTCACATTCATTCCCTTGGTCACGAACTCGGTTCCGACCTTGATGCGTGGCTTGCAAATGTTTGTGTACATCTGTTCCCCATCCACACCGAGCAATTTGGCGCAGTTGGTTCCATCAACGAGACCGTCCGGCTCGGCTTGCTCTTCCCGACCTGAGTAGTAAGTTCAATATTATTAATGAGCTACTATTTCGAGAAAATAAATAAACACCTTTCTGCTCAAACTTCATCTCTCCCATGTGCATGACGGCTGCCGTGACCTTGTAGCAGTCTTCCCGCTCCGTTTTGGTGAAGAGGAGGATTTCGAAGGCTTCATGGGTGGCGTGCATTTCTTCATTGTCGTCGATACTGGGCACGGTAATTTTTCCTTGGGAGACGTAATGGTAGTAGTAGATGTCGTCGCCGAGCAAGCACATGTCTTTAATCCCGAGCTCTTTAGCCGCCGTTCCCATCACCTGATAAAAGATGTGGTAGCATCGCTCCAGCGGCATTTGGGAGATGACACGAGCCTTCTCCAGCAGATCTAGGAAGAGGACGGATACAGTTGGATTAAAATTTCTCGGAGGGCAAAATTATTACTACGTACAAGACTCGATATCAGCACCAGCCAATTTTCCCGTTGGTCCAAAATGGATGCGGATGAATTTACCCTAATAAATTTACCATCATCAATTTCCAATATTATGAATATCTTGCAATCCTAAATATATTTCTGAAATTCCACTCACGAATCGCGACGAATTGTCATTCCTGGTAGTCTTGGCATTTCCGAAAGACTCGAGGACGGGATTAGTTTGGACGATCTGATCCTCAAGGGAAACCTTCTTCGTTTCAGAGCTTTAGATGAGGCACCCACGTTGGCAAAGTAAGCGATAACTTTCTTTGTGTTTTCCGTCTTTCCAGCCCCGGACTCTCCAGTGATTAGGATGGATTGATTTTCGTGGTCCTGAATCATGTTTTGGTAGGCACCCTCCGCAATGGCGAAGATGTGGGGAGGGCACTCGTTACGCCGCTTGTTGGTGTAGATTTTCATGGCCCGGACCGTGTAGATTGGGTAACGGACATAGGGGTTAACGGCGATGCAGAAGAGGCCGGAGTAGGTCTGAATAAATTTGGAAAAAACACCAATTAGAATAATTCATCATCACAAATAATAATAGTTTATAATAATAATATATTAAGCACTAAAGCTTCGTGAACGACCACATTCTTGGTTGCCCCAAAACAGTGTCAGAACGACCATATTTATCACCCATAAGCAGCTGGGGCGATTGAGTTAAGTTTGTTAATTATTTACCCTTACTTATACTTAAGAGTAAATAATTGATAACAATTTAATCGGGCGTGGTCGCAATATCATAATTTCTATTCAACTAGGCTCCCCTTCCTGAGAAGAAACATGTCTTACTTTTCTCGAAAATTAGCAAAACCGCTGAGGGTCACACTCACTAGGGGAGTGGTCGAAATTTCGAAATTGTAATTAAATTTGCCTTGATTTCTGACAAGAAATATGTATGATTTGTCATAGTTTGCTTGAAAACGGGCAAAAGCGTCGATGGCCACACCCACAATGGGTGGGGTTTTAGATGACTTTTAACAACACTTGAAAATGTCTTGCTCCGCTGGTTAAAAATTGGTGCAGCATGCCGTATTTCGCATTAGAAATAGGAAAAGCGCCGAAACCCACACCCCCAACACGTGGGGGAGGTGTAATGTGTGGCGACATGATAGGTAAATTGTGGATTGTTTATTTGAAGCGATAAGTATTTACCAATGTTCTGAGTTTAAGAAGATTTCCATTATAGTTCATAGTGGGTGTGGTTGGAGGTCACTGATGTCAACGAGGTTGGGTTGCCCGTCTCAATAGCTTTCTAACCACACCCCACTCGATGGGGTAAAAAATAAACAAAAAAATGCCGATCTTGGGGGGGTGTGATTCCCGGTAGGTGTGGCTGGGGACCATTTTAATTACTGTCAGCGGGGCTGGTTGGTCTATCTTAAGAGCTTTAAAACGCCACCCCACTCGATGGGGTGACGCTCCCAGACGCGAACTTAGATTTTGAGGGGGTGTGGTGCCGAGGGGGTGTGGCGTAGGTCATTTGGTTGTGCCGGGGTGTACGCCAAATACCCTAGGCTTTCTAATGAGCCCTCAACCATGACCGTGTGACCTCCGGTTCAAAAGTTATAGTTCACAAGACGCAGGTTTTTCCTACTCTTAAAGCCTCGGTAACAGTAAACTATGCGGGCCCAACGAGGGGGTTGGATTAGCTAGTTATTATTATTATGCAATATTCCTCACTACTGAATCATTAATTGAAACGGTTAATTTTCCGAAACTCATTTTGATCATGATTTGCATAACTATTGTACTATGACTTGGTTTCTTATGCCATTTCCTCATCCTTCTCTTCTCATCAGCCAAACAAAATTGAGCCGTGGCCAAAACCAAACCAACCTACTTTCATTGATTGAGTTCAATCCTGTCCTAATTATTTCATATCCTGACTTCAGTTAAATCCTATCAACCCGGGTAGGGAATGCCCTGGGCTCATTTTCCTCGATGGAACGGGATAAAAAACCCAAACAATTTATCCTTAATTTGGGGAGACGAGGATAATAATTTCTCCTCAAATCTCCCCAACTCTCACGTACATAAATCAGCTTGGCTTGATACCGGTTCTTCAAATTCCAAAGGACGGATGCGTCATTCAAAAAGGTTAGGTTGGACATGTCCTCGCATTTCTCGTACTTTGGGGGGTTCACCTGACCTACTAGGTCCTTCTTGAATTTCTTCTCCTATCATTTGCAAAAATATAAATGATGATGATGATATAAATAAAAAATATCAACTATTTCGCAACAAATGTTACCTCTGACCCAGTCCAAACCATGACAAAGTCTCCCTCAGTACTGCGAATATCTCCTCTCGTGTAACAATCCGCCGGATCGGGGACCCAGCAGGACGTTTTGGCATCGTAAGGGACCGACTCGTCCTTCATTCTCATTTCCTGTTAAAGAGAAAGTTTTTAAATTGGCTAGAATTGTATTTATTTATTTCATAATTAAATTATCAGTTAATTAATTACCATAGAAATAAAAAGAAATTCGGAGGGATCGGGCTCCTGCCCGATCGCAAATTTCTTCTCAACAACCATTTTGCTCGACTTCTCGCTGAACTGGAGCTGCGGAACTTTTCTTTTGCCGTGGACAACTGCTGCAAAAATTCAATAATTAAAACACATTGTGGAATTTTACTCAATTATGTAAATGTAAATTTGCGCAGCAAAATATATTTTGAGAAACCAAACTAGATTACAAAATTAGGATGGGAGAACACGATCACGTAAAAAGGAGAGTAAATTATTATTTTAAATTTCTGCAGAAACTAAAAAAAACAATCCTGCAGAAATTTAGAAAAATTGGAAGGAGAAGAAGAGTGGAATCAAACCTTCGGGCTGAAGCTGACCTGCAGACTGGGCTCGTAGAATTAGCTACTGCATGGAATGATAAGATTGATCCGGGTTTTGGCCTGGGTCGGTTTTCTTACAGTTAATCTGAGTTAAAATTAACTCTTCCCGAATAAAAATCCCGAGTTTAATTTGACTATGGAGCTTTGTTCTTTAATTAGCTCGAAGCACAATAAAATCTTGATCTGGAACTGATAACTATGAACGCGGTGCATGTATGGAGAAAATGTCTCATTCGTTTCCACTTTGAGCACATCTTCTACATAAGGGGAACTCGCATCCGACCATGTCATAGGGAACTAAAAGTCTGTACATATACTCAAGTAAAACTGGGTAACTTAATGAGAGTGAGAATGAATAAAAGTTGTAAAGTGCTCTAATGAGTCTCCAATTAATTATATTTAGATTAGAGTTTATATAAAGACATACTTATTTCCATCAAATATCTTTCCACATTAAACTCACATTTAAATTCATTAAATTGTACAAATCTGTGCTTGAATTTTGTGGATGTGCATCCAACTTTGCACACGAGTAGACATTTACTAGTTTTATATTCAGAAAGCAATGCGTACTGAATATACACAAAATCCATAACTGAGGAGAACAGAGGTCACAAAAAGATGTAATTTTCAAATTATGGCATGCTACTGCCTTGAGGCTAAAATTGGCAGAGAGGATAAGTCTCAATTCAAGTAGAGCTGTCCTTTCTTCCAAAGGGAGATAAATTGTAGTCATTATGTTTTTCTATTATGGCAGCTAAAATATTTTAAATCGTGGCTATAATCTTTGGGTTTTCAAGGTAGTAAGTCGTGGCGTAATATTGACGAGACAAGGAATGTGATTGTCTTTCACGCAATATCCGCCTTTTGTGCCATCTTTTGTGCAATCTTTACCTCATTTGATGATAATTTTGATTTTCTCCAGATTTTTTTAATTTATCTACAATTTTATATTGATTATTTTATATTTTTGGTTGCCATGGTTACGATGGTTTCATTCGTAATCGAGAGAGGGCGCTCGAGGAGAGCACACATCATCTGCTTCTCCTCCATTTATAATATTTTGAAATTTTAAAAAAATCTGACGACCAGGGTCACCCCCATTTTAAAATTTTCACCGAGCTAGTCCCTTTAGGCCCCTAGTGGGTAGTGAAGTGTCTTTCGTCGCCGGGAACCACACCCGGGATTTTTCGGCAATTTTTTTTGTGTGCCCGTACTTCCCAACACGGATCACGTCGCCCCGACCCCCTTCGCAACGGTTGCTAAGGCCCTTTTTCTTCCGTTTCTGGTGGTTTTTCGACCTGTGCTGACCGGGAAGGACCACCCACGATTCAAATCGTGTAGAGGGGAGGTCCCTGCGCCCCCAGAAGCGGCACGGAGGTTGAGTGACCGTTTTCTCATGGGGCTGGCCTCTCTCAAGCATTTTTAATGCCTAAATCAGGCGAGATATTTAAAAAATTTCAAATCTTTTCGTTTTTGCTCAATTGGCTGGGAACTATCGGGATTCTATTAATTGTTTTTTGTTTCCTTGAGTGGGACTAATTGGTCCCTCTGCGCGCTCAAGGCCCCTCGCAGCCATGTCCACGACGCAACACAACGCAGATCTCCCTTCGTCGCAGCCGCCGCGGGACGACTCCTCACCTGCACCACGTCCACGCGGCCGACCGCGAAAATCTATCTTCAGTCTGGCTCTCTCCGCCGTTGGACTGGGCGGAGAAGAGCCTTCTTCGAGCGATGGGGCGACACCGGCCCCAATTTCCGACGTCGAACCCCCTTCCACTTCAAACTCGTCACTTAGCGTCCCCCGTCCCTGCCGATCGTCTGTCGCGCCCACTTCTCCTGGTGTTACCAAAAACGACACCTACGCGGCCGCCCGGGAATGGGTCCGCACGTCCTTCGTGGGTGTCGACCCCAACACCCAACCTCAAGTACGGCTGAAGAAGGCGGACGTTTTCACCCGCTACTCAGTTTTTGTTGCTCAGAGTGGAGAGGGTGGAGTTACCGAGGCCACCCTCGGCAAATATATTAAACAATTGTTCTCCGACTCCACGACCCGTCGCGTTGGAGCCAGAGGAGTGTCCCACTATTGCTACGAGGGCATCCAGTGGGCGGATGCACCTCCAGCTTTGCCTCAACAACAACAACAGAGTCCCGCGAGGTGCGAGGAGACCTGTGGCGCAGTGTCTCACCAAGATTCTGGAGCAAGTTACAGAGTCAGGCGACGAAGAAAGTTGGGGAAAGCTGCTCCTTTTCCCTTATGCGACTCTCCCCGTTCCCCAGAAGGAGGATCGCGTCAAGAACTTGACTACTTGGGTTAAAAATAATACAGCCGGATGGGATGCCGGCTTCTCAATCCCTCGCGCCCTCCCACCGCGCCCACCTTCCCACAAACCTCCACTAGACATGACGGCGAAGAAAGTGGAGGCGAAACTCGCCGACGGCGACATCAAGGGAGCAATCCGCCTCGCCTGCTCCGACGACACCATCGCACCGTCCAACGACGAAACCCTCGCCGCGTTGCTCGCCAAACACCCGGCTCACCCTGTGTCAATCAATCTCCCACCAGCACTTGAGGACCCGGTCATTGCCCCAGTGCTGGACGAAGAATTGGGCAAGGCTATTTCCTCGTTTCCGCCAGGGTCGGCCGGGGGTCTAGACGGGATGAGACCCCAGATCTTGAAGGACCTTTTGGGGTGTGTTCAGGGGGAGGAGGGCGACCAACTCGCTGAAGCGATGCGGGCTTTCCTCAACAAGATTCTCGCCGGTGGAGTCCCTTCAACGTTTTGCCCCTTCTTTTATGGAGCGTCTCTCACGGCGTTGAAGAAGAAGTCGGGAGGGATTCGACCCATCGCCGTGGGGAATACGTGGCGGCGCCTGGCCGCGAAGATCGTCGTGGGGAGAATTACCCCACAATTAATTCAACATTTTTCTCCCCACCAACTCGGAGTGGGCATCAAAGGCGGGGCGGAGATCGGAGCCCACGCAGCCCGCATCTACTACAACCACGCCCACACCTCTCCAAAAGCGTTCCTGAAAATTGACTTCAGGAACGCTTTCAACGAAATTAGGCGGGACACGCTCCTCAACGTTGTCCGCGACCTTTTCCCGTCAATTTTTCCGTTCGTGGCCCAGTGCTACGCCAGTCCCTCATCGCTCTACTATGGGACAATCCCCATACCGTCTGCACTCGGTTGCCAACAGGGGGACCCTTTGGGCCCCGCCCTCTTCTCCCTCGTGGTCCACCCCATCGTCGAGGCGGTGGAAACGGAGCTTAACTTGTGGTACCTCGACGATGGGGCCATGGGCGACTCGCCGGAGAAAGTTTTGGCCGCCCTAGCAACGGTGGCTAGGATGAGCGGCGAAGTAGGTCTCCACCTCAACACGGAGAAATGTGAAGTGGGGATTCTAGGGGCGGAGCGCGAGGAAGCCATCGACATCCTCCTCCAATTTCAGCAAGTTGCCCCCGGAATCCAGCTAATGTCCCCCGATTCTGCGATGTTGCTGGGCTCCCCTCTCACCAATGAAGCGCTTGAGGTTGTCTTGGCAACCAAGACCCAACAACTTGCAACTTTCTCCCAACGACTCCTCGGTCTCTCGGCCCACTCGGCCTTTTTCCTCCTCCGCGCGTCGATCTCCATCCCTCGACTCATCTACTTTCTCCGCTGCGCCCCATCGTGGAGAAAGATGGACGCCCCTCATCCACTACGACACCACTCTAAAGGACGCGCTGGAAGGGATCCTCAACTGTACTCTCTCGGAGGCTGCGTGGATGCAGTCCTCCCTACCCGTGAAGGAAGGCGGCCTCGGGGTCAGGCACGCTGTGGATGTGGCGATACCGTGTTTTCTTGCGTCCGCCCACAGCGTCCTGTCCCACGTAGAACGTCTCCTTCCCGGCCATCTCCATGGCAACGACATCGCCATGGCTGAGGGGGTTCAGAGATGGACGGATCTCGGCCTCTCGGACCTCCCACCTGAAACCGTCAGAGGAGTCCAAGCCGCGTGGGAACGCCCCATTCTGGACAAGACTCTGTCCCAACTCTCCGATTTGGCAGTGATCCCGGAGGATACTGCCCGACTACGCTCCCTCCGCAACAAATACGCAGGAGTGTGGCTCAACGCCCTCCCATCTCCTCAACTAGGCACTCCTTCCCAACGAGACCTTCCGTGTCTCCGTCGCTCTCCGCCTAGGCTGCGACATTTGCCAGCCGCACAAATGTCCGTGCGGGGCTCCAGTTTCCTCCCCTGGTCTACACGGCCTCTCTTGTCGTCGGAGTGCAGGTCGTTGGTCCCGCCACGAGGCCGCAAAGATCCCGTTTTTCTAACGGTCCAGTGGAGTCGTTGTGGTCCCAGTCGAGATAACTCAGGAGTCGTAGTAGTTCTATGTGCTCCGGGTGTTCAACGCCCATTTCTTCGCCGTCCAGTATGATGACGTTGGTCTCGGGATGGGCTAGTGGGATGTATCTTTGGAGGATTATTTCCTCCAACGATTTAGTAGGGTTTGGTGGGGTGGCCAGTTGGTTGAAAACGTTATCTTCCGTGGAGCCGTCGTCGTCATCTTCCCAGTCGCTGTCGTCGTACTCAGTGGAAGAGGGGGGCATCGCAGATATCTGTTTCACAACAGACAGTGTGTGCCAGTATCTTATGACCCGATTTCAAAATACTAATTTTTCCTCCTGCTGAGGACATATACTCATATTAAGTGACTTATCTCTAAGAAGATGAAGAAGATCCCTGAGTTATAGTGTCACGGTGGAAGGGAGGTCATCAGTCAGTGGGCCACTGTGAGGGTAGGTCACAACAGAGCAGGAGCCAGAAAATAGGACGTGACGGTGAGAAATTGGAGATATTTTTCTCACTGAGTTGGTCAATGTTGAGAGTTACGGCGGAGTAATAATGATTAATCACTTGGAAAATAAATCGTTTAGTGAATTTCTTTTAGAGCTATCTTGTGAGGGCCGCCCTAGTCGTCAATTAGTGGTATAATTGGACTCAATCCAGTCAGTAATTTTG